AATTAGATGAACAAACCCAAGATCTTACCTTTGTTAATCCGTGTGAGGTCTCTTGCTCAGATGTGTCCAACTCTCTTGCTCAGATGCGATGAGTGCTCTATATAATGATTTGCCAACACTGACGCACACTGAAAAGAAGAAATGCTTACATCCTCTTTAACTCAACAAATTACATTGTCTGAATGTCTGGTATTTGATCATCAGTTTTGTTAAGTTTTTCCAAATCACATGCTTCAAAGAACATTATTACAGAACATTCCCGGAACTGAATTGAATGCATACCTTATAACAGACATTTCTTAGATAAACAGAGATTACTAGTAAACACATATGACAAAACAGAGGTACAGGAGCAGTTACATTTAATTGTAGTGTTGATAAACACATGCAAATATAATGCAATGTTTAATTGCATTTTTACCAGAGGACTGTTGAATTCTAAATTTGAAGGTTCTAACCAAATCATGGATTATATTTTAACACATTTGTTCTAATATTTTAGCATTTCTATACCAGATATATAATTTACAATGAGTTGTATGGTGGACAGGTGTTGATATGGTGAGGTTTCCTGTAAGCTGACATTTAACATTTATGTAAAATAAATTTATGTAATCGCAATTACACTGTCCACCACAGGACAGAGTTTTGCGTTTCGGTAACATGAAAAGCTGCATTGTTTTGTTTTTTTTACTTCAAGCAAGAGGGGAAAAAAGAGGCTAAAACATATGACGTCATATATCATTGGTAAATTGCTGTTATATAAGAAAATACTTCAGGGTGTTCATTTATTGAAAAATAATCAACTGAAGAGCAACTGTGCTTCACCTCGGACTGCATCACACTACCCTGCTTTTGAATTTTTTTCCTAGCACAGCACATCCCTAAGTGTTGTATTTTTTACATAATATTCAGTGTTTCTCAATAGCTGCTCCTTATAGCACTGCATCAAAGCATCCTTGGAAGGAAAAAAAACCTTTTTTTCTATACTACTTTACTGCTCACATTTGCCACAACACTACCGGAAGAGTATAAACGTTATTATACCCACAGGATTGCACAACTAATTGCTGACACTAAACAGATGCATCCTTTCAGCAAAAGTGCACCTTATGCTTGTTTGCCATGGGACGTGTCTATAGCTTTGAAACCCAACCACTAGCTCCCCCAGTTTTTCAGTATTTTTTAAGAGTACAAAATTAATTCATTAGGCTCAGTGCCACAAACAAATGTCACATTGCATATTTTCATAGTTATCTTTATAGTAATTTATAGTGTAGCTATGATGTGATTTTCAACACAACTTTGCAGACCAAATGCTTTGACTTCGTCTTGCTTGGACATTTGTAAGTGGATAATTTAGTACTGTTTGCATTTACTCTTCTACAACTGCATACTGTAATGATTCATAATCCCACTATCCAGTGTCACCCAGAAGAGGATAGGTTTCACCATAGAGTCTGGTTCCTCTCATGGTTTCTGCATGTCATCTAAGGGAGTTTTACCTGCCACTGTTACCTCCAGCTGACCCATTATGGGTCTAGATCTACATTCTGTAAATGTGTTTGTGACGATGTCTATTCTTAAGTGTTATACAAATGAAATTGAATTAGAAGTTTAACTGCTGTTCCACTTTCGGCTGCTCATGTTAGGGGTCACCACAGCAGATCATTGGTCCGCATATTTTTATTTGGCACAGTTTTTACGCCGGATGCCCTTCCTAACGCAACCCTCCCCAATTTTATCCAGGCTTGGGAAAGGCACTGAGAGTGCACTGTTGCACGCAACCCCAGTGGCTGGGGTTGGTTCCCTGGCCAGGAATCAAACCCAGGCTGCATCAGTGAGAACGCTGTGGGCTAACCACTAGTCCTCCAGGGACCCAATTAGAAGTTTAACTGTACTAGCCCTAAATTAGGTCAAGTGACTTGGATTTATTTCAGTGATTAAAAATCAAGGGGGCCAAGTATCCACTGAACTTGCCAGTGAACAGTGTACACTCTCACTCTCAGATATGGCCGAGTGTAAGGGTTAAATTATCCTGGCCTTATTGGTCCTCAGCATGCTTGTAGAGATATACATAGTGTCCATGTGTGCCTGTCTGCAATTCCAAATTCTGAAATACTGTTTGTTCTAATGAGAATCATCTTTGGGATTTTGTGATCTCTTTGAATGTAATGCAGTTGACCAAACTACTGGAGCAGAAAAAGTGAAATCCATTGATGAGCCCTCCTATGACATAATTAAAAGACAAAGACGTAGTTAAAAGATAAAGGGGTCCAAACAGTCATTAGCCAAGTTTCCATCCACTTTTTTGCCCTTTTCTGTTATCGATAAAGTGAAAATGCATACAAAAAGGGTTTGTGAAATTTGCTCTCTCTCACCTGTTTCCATGTAAAATGTAAATAAAAACAATACAATGACCTGAAAATCCTTCCCCAGCTCTTTTGGAACATGCTGGCATCAAATTCAAAATGAGTGAATATTTACAAGAGACAATAAAGTTTATCAGTTTAAACATTGCATATCTTGTCTTTGTGGTGTTTTCAATTGAATATGGGTCACAAGGATTTGCAGGTCATTGTAATCTGTTTTTATTTATGTTTTACACAACATCCCAACTTCATTGGAATTGGGGTTTGTAAAATGTCACAGCCCACATTTGAGATGTTGTGCCAATTAATTGGTCCTGATGTTGCACCCATCGCAGGTTGACACCGACCACTGGTTCCAACTCGAAAGTGGATTGCCATCAACCTGTTCAAGCTGGCAACCTGAGTTGTGTACAGAGTGTGTGTGTGTGTGTGTGTGTGGGGGGGGGGGGGGGGGGGGGGGGGGGGGGGGGGGGGGGGGGGGGGGGGGGGGGGGGGGGGGGGGGGGGGGGGGGGGGGGGGTTTTTGGGGTTAGTAAAACGACCGTCCATTGATGTATATGCTGTGTGCACCGCTATTAAACAAAAATTAATGTGGCGTTATATCAGGCTGTCGATAGATGATGCCAATGAAGTTGTATACTGTAATTCCTCAGCACATCTTGTGCTACAGATTTACAGTGTGCTGGATGGCATGCCCTATTCTTCCCCTGACGGATAAATAAATTCTGTCATGTGACACTTTTTTTGTGAATGCCATTTTATTTGACAAAAACTGTTTCCAAACAATTTTAAGTATTGACATAGAATTTATGTGCTTAACAACTTAACAAAGTTAAACGAGAAAAGATTGTCGACACTTATGTCAAAACTTTATCAATAAATTGCATTTCCATCAGCTATATCGGTAAACATTTCAATACGTTAAACCTTTTTTCGCAAAAAGTCTTGGATGGAAACATAGCTAGTGAAGCTGCTGGTGAGCTATGCGTACACTCTCCAGGCAGGACAATACCATCCAATAAAACCAACCATATGGGATGCATTCTAAGGCATGAAGTAGGTGATGAAGACCAAAGGGATGATGAGGGCAAGGCCCAATGGCCCATCCAGATGGATGTGCTGGCAGACATCCTTGTTGGACAAATCAGTGAGAATATTGTTGTTTATGATACTTCACAATGTAGACAATTCTGGATCATGGAACCCAGCCAGAATAAAACATTGGCAATCATGGCATACTGGGGATCATTAACAGGAAGGTGCTGTTGGTGCTGAAGATAAACCTGAAAATGGCTCATGGTCCATTTATGTAGTGATGTTATGCTGGGTCCACATTTTGTGCTCATAGTGTTGACAGTGCTAACAGTTTTACGTGGTTCATAGGACTATCTTTTATGACCAATAGAGGCCTCTTGTGGTCACTTGAAGCCTTGAGAAATGAACCTTTTTTTTTTCAACACAGTTGGCTGAAAAACTTCAATGCTTCATGAAGCTTCATCTCACCCATGATCATCAGTTTCAATAACTACAACCTATTTCTAGAAAATTGTAATGTATTAAGTGTATTGTATTAGCTCTATTAAAGCCAATGCAGCAGACAATCAAAAGTTCTAGGCAATACTCTGAGGCAGAGGCAAATGGTCAAGTGATCAGCAAACAAAGATAAACTAGACAAGATTACATCACCAAGCATGAAGCAGGTTAGGGTAAAAACACTATCCAAAACAGGTGAGTAACAACGGCTTTAAATCATCGCAGATGATAGTGCAAGATTTCACAAAGTAACACAGAGTCTGGGTTATTTAAAGGTAGTAGTTTGATTGCAAACAGATAACAGATGAGTGACATTAATAATCAGGTGTTTGACTGGAGGTCATGTGAGGAGATTGTTAGTTGAGGAACATGGGAGTTATAGTCTGCAACTTCAAGAACTGACAAATGTATAGAATGTAAGGATTATAATAAAAGACTGTGTGTCTTATACATTGAATTTAAGCAATAATGTGCATATAAACTGAAGTATTAGAATTCTGTATGTATTAAAGATTGAAATGCATTCCAAATAATTATAAACTCTAGAGACTGCTGTGACTGAAAATTCCAGGAGATCAGCAATTTCTAAAATATTCATTTTTAGAATCCACATTTCCCCATTCTGATGTTGAACATCAAATGAAAAGCTTGACATGTATCTGAGAAAGAGCTCATTTTTTTAAATTATTTTTTTAAGAGTGCATGTATTAACTGGGTAGTTGTGTAGTACAAACTCTAAATTATTGGTAATTTTTTGTGGTTAATACCTAGAACCAGTTAGGCGTTTAAAATTCTGAATATTTTCTAACATACCAAATAGCGTTGTGCAGCTAGCCGCTAAGCTAACTCCGGAAGTAGTAAAAGGTGACTGTTGTGGTGCTTGTGCTACTGTGAAGGGTACAGGATGGGGGAAACTCAGAGCCTATGGCTCAACACACAAGCACCATAGCGTGGCGGGAAAAATAACAAAATGGCCCTGTCGTTTGGCCGAACTTGAAAGAACTAAAACTTTAGTTAATATTAAATATATCCAGCCCTGAACCTCAATATTCACTTTTCTCAATATAAACCTCAATATTAACTTTATTTTATTATATTATAATATTAATTTCTTTATTTATTGATTTTCTTACATTTGACGCAAAAGGAAAAACAGAAAGAGATGCATCACCCACGATAAGAGGCGGGACAAAAACAAAAAACAAAATAAAACAAAAAAAAAAAAAAACAACAACCCTCAGAAAAAATAACAGAATAATGATTGTATAATTATAACCAAGATTTTTGAATAGAGATGATAGATTTTTCTTTTCATCTTCATCACTCGTTGTCTTAATAAATAACTCTATGGTGTTTAAATACTCCACACTGTACATCCACTGTATGTGGCATGAAATGTTGTCAATGTTCTGAAAGTTGTTTCTATAACCTCTAAAACATATGATCAAACTAAGCAAAAGAAAATTGCAGTAACATTTTTTTAAAAATTCTCATTTAATTGATTGGTAACTCTCAGGAACATTTCATTCATCGCAAGTGTTTTCCTCATGTTTCATGTGATGTATTATTGTGCACTAAGTCATGTGTCATGGCTTCACACACCCTGTCTTGCCCGGGTCCACTCTCTCATCTTCATGCTTTATCACAGTAAACAAATTATTCCTATAAGCAATTAAAACATTTTAATTTTAAGATTAAGTGATTTGTTATTTCATTTGATTAAGTGATTTGTCATATTTGAAAACTTTATCAAATATCTTACATAGAACTTTTTTTTTTTGCATAGAACAAAAACTTGGATTTGGTTATTTTAAAAAAAACACCTTTTTATGGTAGATTTCATAATTATTGAATTATGAAATTAAGAATTATTGTTGAGAAGGACACTATGTCTCTGAAGATTCTTAATTCTGTCACCACAATGCAATGGGAATATACGTATCTTCTTCATCCATGACAGGGTGGACATATCTTGTAGTTGATTCACAAATTGTCTGCTTGTAGTTCCAAAATAAAATGTGTTGTAGCCTCAAAAGGATGTTTCTACAGTAGCCTACAGTCTATTTAATATAATAAACCTTCAACGAAAGAGAAAAACATGTCCAGGTTATGAGATCCCGAAGGCATCCTGTACTGGTGGTATTGACCTGGATAAAAGATCTACACTGTATCCAGGTGATCATGCACACTGAGCACATCGCGCAAGGAAACTGCTCTTTTAAGAGTCTCAGCTGAAGTGTTGGATCTAAAGTGTTGCATAGTGTTAAAAGAAGATGCAGTGACAAATGGAACCGATTTCTAAGCCTGCTTTCATCCTCAGAAAAAAAAAATCATACCAGTCTTTAAACATCTTTTCCCTCATAAGCATGACCTGCGCTAAGTCTTCTGTCAGCTGAGGTTTTCATTTCACAGCTATGTGCAGACAGACCAGCCCGTCCTCCGTTCATACAGCGTCATTTCTCTAGTTAAAACTGAATGATTCGTTTTAATTATCTTAATATGTGGGTTTGTATTTCTTTATTTTTCATATTCTTTAATTAATGCCAAAAATATAAAACAAATGGTTCAAAAAATATTCTCAATGGTGCTCTTAGTCCCAGACTTGGTAAACTAGCATGAGGGTTTGTTTTTGACAGTGATCACAAAGCACTTTTATAAGTCACTCTAGATAAGGGTGTCTGCTAAATTCTGTAAACCTAATAAAAATAAGGTATTTAAACTTTACAGAATTTTCCATATATGTGTATATATGTATATGTGTGTGTGTGTATATATATATATATATATATATATATATATATATATATATATATATATAGTGTGTGTATAAGTGCAGTAATCCAAGCAGATTATGATTTGAAGTCAATCAAATTGAGGTTTACATTAGTTAGTTGACTTATGCATAAATATGTACACACTCAGGAGCACAAGTAGGATATGAAAGTTTTTCCAAAATTACAGGATTTTCATGAAT